AGAAGCAATTTAAATATGTTCAGGGACCATTTTCATCTCCAGAATTAAGGATTATTTTGATGTTACATCATTGCCTTTTCTCTTTTACTTTCCTTTTTAGTTTTATTTTAGGATTCCCTATTTTTAATGTTCATACAGAGATTTCTTTAACTGAAATACCGAATAGTTTCTTTGGTGTGAAAAACTATAATAGTACACAGGATCCTAATGAGAGAATTAATAATGTGAAATAAGAAGTAAAGGGCTAAAGGTGTAAGGAAAGTGGGAAGGGTGGGGGAAAGGTAATAAGGGAGAGGAACAAAATATGAGAAACTGAAAAATGGAAATAAAGTGTTTGTAAATGGGGAGGGGAGGAGGGGGTGAAGGGAGGGCAGGGACAAGGGGAAAAATGAGAATCAAGACCTATTATGTAAAGGTACAGAATCCCAATCATGAATATAACTGTATTTGTATACCTAGATTGTACCAACAACCTCAATAAAAAGGAAAAAAAAAAAAAAAGAAAATGGGAAGACATCCCTTGTTTGTGGGTAGGAAGAACCAATATAGTGAAAATGGCCATATTTCCAAAACTGCTACAGAGATTCAATGCAATCCCTATTGAAATCCCAACAGTATATTTCACAGAACTAGAGAAAACAACACAAAATTCATTTGGAACCAGAAGAGACCTAGAATAGTAAAAGCCATCCTAGGCAACAGAGATATGGCAGCTGGTATAACAATTCCCAATTTGAAACTATACTACAAAGCCACTGTGATAAAAACAGCATGGTACTGTCAAAGAAACAGACCCAAGGATCACTGGAACAGATTAGAAGATGCAGAAACAACTCCAGACATACTCAGCTACTTCATCTTTATATGGTTTTGTTTTTGGTATCAGGGATTGAACTCTGATCCTTGCACTTGTGAGGCAGGCACCAGAGCCACTGAGCTAAATCCCTGGCCCAGCTACCTTATCTTTAACAAAGGAGGCAACCATCCTCCCTGGAAGAAAGATAACCTCTTTAATAAATGGTGTTGGAAAAACTGGATTTCAATTTGCCAAAGATTAAAACTACATCCCTATTTTCACCATGCACTAAACTAAAATCCAAGTGGATTAAAGATCTAAATATTAAAAAGAAACACTAAACTTGTTGGAAGATAAGCTAGGTAGAACTCTTGAAGACACTGGCATAGGAAAAGACTGAACAAGTCCTCAGTAGCAGGGGAACTAGCACAAAGAATCAACAACTGGGATCTCATCTTTTTAAAAAGCTTCTGCACTGCAAGAGAAACCAAACAAAACTAAGAAACAACCTACAATGTGGGAAAATAATTTTATCAGCTGTTCCTCAGACAAAGGACTATTATCTAGAATACATAAAGAACTAAAAGAAAAAAATCAGGCCCCCCAAATATAAAGACCCAATTTAAAAGTGGGCATCTGAAATGAACAGACATTTATTTCTCAAAGAAGTAGAAGCAGCAAATAAATATATGAAAAAGTTTTCAACACCACCTAGTCATTCGAGAGACAACACTGAGATTGCACCTCACCCCAGAAGAACGGCTGCTCTCAAGAAATCAACCAATGACAAATTCTGGCGGGGATGTGGGAAGAAAGGGACCCTTCTTCATTGTTGGTGCGAGTGCAGACTGGTGCGACCACTGTGGAAATCAATCTAGAGATACTCTGAACAACTAGGATAGAAAGTCCCGTTTGACCCAGCTATTCCCCTGCTGGATATCTTCCTGAAAGAATTAAAAGAATCATACCACAGGGATATATGTTCACCCATGTTTATAGAGGCACAGTTTGTAATAGCTAAAACTTGGAAACAGCCCAAATGCCCATCAACTCCAGACTGGATAAAGAAGATGTGTGTGTGTGTTTTTTAAATAAAAAAACTACTACTCAGCCATAAAGCAGTTAGAGACAGTTATAGCTAAGAGCACGCATGTTAAGGACATACTCATAAGTGAAATTAATAGTACACATATGTGAAATTACCATATAGTTTCTCTATATGGTATGATAAACTATATGGTGTGATAAACTAAAAGTGTAAATAAGGGTCAAAATGTATGATACTGTGTAACTGGAATAAAAGATCTAAAATTGCTGGGGAAACGGGAGGGATAGGGGAAAGGTAAGAAGGGAGAAGAAAAAAAAATAAGAGAAGGGGAAAAAAATGGAAACAAAGTCTTTGTAAACAGGGAAGGGTGGAAGGGGGAAGGGAGGCTAGGGGAATGGGGAAAAAATAAGAACCAAGACCTGTCACGTAAAGGTACAAGATCCCAGTGATGAGTGTAACTGTTGTGTACCTAAGATGTACCAAAAATATATATTAAAGAATAGAAGGAGGAGGAGGAGGAGGAGGAGGCCCAACTACCCTAAAGTTTGACATGCTTTAGAGGGCCCACAGGGGCTCAGAACATGAGCAGAGCCATGCTGGACCATCCAGAAGAGGCCAGCCACCAGCTCAACACCACTTTCTGACCTCAGCTGGTTTCACAAAGGCCAGAAAAAGACTGCCTGGTAAACTGTCCTAAACTCTGGACCCAAAAGTCGCACGATGGCGTGGAAGAATCTGTTACACCGAAGTGGGTAGCTGACCAGGGCTACCCACGCTCTGCTAAGCTGCTCTCGGCTCCATTTCCTCCCGCTAGCTCTACTTAGCAGAACCAACACTGACTTGTGATCCTTCTTCTCATTGTTTGGACTGAATATCAGAGGCCACGCAGAAGTCATTGACGTCAATAGTTCTGTTTGACAGTATTCCCCAAGTGTATTTTTGGACTCGTCTATTATTTATGCTCTTTCATTTAACTTTACAGGCAGATAGGGCAGGAAGAGTTGGCAGTGTTCCAGAATATGAGCTAAATGGATTTTTCTGTTGTTTTCAAGGAGGAAATGACAAAGCGAAAATCTTTAGCTCTCTTCCCACTAAGCTAAACTCCCTATTTATGGGGGGAGGGGGTTTCCTATGGCAACCTGACCCTTAAAGTCTCAAATCTCAAATGAGGACCTGCTCTTACATGCTTTGGGTAGGCAGTACACCCTCCTGACTTCACTCTCATGATTTTATTTTTAAATTTTATTTACTTATTTATTTTTGGTTCTGGGGATTGAACTCAGGTCCTTGTGCTTGTGAGGCAGGCGGCAGAACCACTGAGCTAAATCCCTGGACCTCTCATGATTTTATTTACATTTATTTTATTTGAAGTTTTAAAAATACTTCAGAGGATAAAAATGTGTCCAAAATGGCTGGTAACTACTGCCAAGATCCGATATATAGAAGAATAAAAAATTTTCAAATAACTGACACTTCAGTTCTCAGGTTCTCTGTTGTGACATATCAAATATTAACTAGAAAATTAATCATTAAGGACATTAATGAAACCTGTCTTTTGGTGTTACATTGCCCCTGAAACAATGAGGCTGGTTAACTTTTGGCCTTCCGTCACTTCCCTAGAAACCCTGTCTCTGTCTTATATATCATTAAGGGCGTCCACTCTTTCATGCCCATTGATTTCTGTGAATTTGTCGACTTCTAGAAGCATCACAACTAAAGCTTCACCTTGACTTTCAACTCTTTCAAGCGGAACCTCCAAGGTTAGTCTGTCTACGTTGATTTGATGTTTAAGATGTGTTACAAAGGAAGGGGAATTATTGGCCCATGACAGGGCAAAGAGGCAGTTACCAAAGAAGGTTTATGCGGCTGAGCGGCTCAGGGCAGAACTCTAGGGCAGCAGGAGAGAAAGTTAAGGCTGAGGAGTGAAGTCCTGAGTTTCAGAATGAGCTCAGAGCACCATCTCACAGCCTGCAGCTGGACACTCAGCCTGGCGGAGGGAGGCTGATCCTGATGTGTAATCTGAATGGGCTAAACCTTGGCTTCCTCTCTGCCCATAAACTTGGCTCCACTCTCAAGAAGCACTCAAACTTCCTTCCACCTTGGATCCTGGTGCTAGGCCTCTCTTCTACCAGCCAGGTGTTCAGACACCTAGAAGAAGGAGCCCTGCAGCTCCGGTCTGTGCTGATGCTCACCTATGTCTCACTCATTCTCAACCAAATCGTCCATAACCAGCAGGGCAAAATGGAGCTCTAAAAGTTAAGTTTTCTTTTTCTTTAGAGACAAAGGAGTTTTCCAAACTTTTTTGGACCTAGGGAGTAAACCATCACCTCCCTCCTCTCCTCAGTCTAGAATAAGGAACAGAAGCTGACACAAAAATGTGGGGCCCAATTTCATTTCCTTAGTGAAGGGAGGGAGCAGAAGATGGCCGGGAGAGGGGAAGGAAACTGGAGCTGTCTACCATCTCGTTGTATCCCTTCTCCCTCTGTCCTTTACTATAAAAGTCCCTTGCATACCTGGACACAGGGAGATGGTGATTTGTGACAGACAACACGAGGCCCCTCCATCTCCTCAGGGATGGCTTTGAATAAACGTTTTTCCCTTTTACCCAACAGGCCTTGCGTGGTTTGTTGGGAGCAGTGAGCAGAGCCCGGCATATGGACCTGAGCTGCGGGTAACGTCTGCACTTGCCCTTCTACTACTGCTCTTGGTGATGACGGCTGCCAGCCGTCCAGCGCCTTCTCTCAGCCTGTGTTCCACGTGACGTCCTCCGTGTCCTACCGTGCGCACGGATGGCGTCTTTCTAGAGCAGTACTCGAATAATCTCAAACCGATCTGGTTGATTATGAAACACCGGATGTGTAGTGAAAAGAGCCTCTGCATATGAAAACAGTTGTGTTTCAGTGCGAAAAAGAGCAAAACATAAAACTGCAACGTGAAATAAACAGACTTAAGGAGCTACTTAGAAGAAACAGCAACACTTAATGTGTACGGACCTAACAAGAGAGTGTCAAAGTTGTGAAACAAAACCGACTGAACTACAAGGAGGAGTAGATGAATCCATTACTATAGCTGAAGGCTTGAACAGGCAGAAAATTGGCAAAGGACAACTGAAGTCAGCGCCGCCATCAATGAACTGGACATAGTTGACGTAAATAGAAAACTTCACCCAGAACAGAATACACATTCTTCTCAAATTCACACGGGACATTGAGAAGGATGCTGGACATTCTGAGGCATAGATACATGCCAACACATTTAAAAGAATAGAAAGTACACAATGTTTTCAGACAAAAACGGAATTAAAATAGAAATCAGAAGCAGAGATACAGGTGGAAAAGATCTCCAAATAATTGGACATTGGTGTCAAGGGCCAGTCAGGTGAGAGTCCCAACGAAAAGAATGAACGTGGAGCAGACATCACAAAAAAGCAGGGACAAAGTTTATTTTACAGCATACCCCGAATAGTGGCCATTATCAGTTTTTCTGAGACAAAATAAGAAAACAGCCTTGACCCTGCAGAGCTGTGCGGAATGGCGCGGCCATCCATGCCGACATCGTTATTATAATAAAGTCTGTTGTGTGCCTTCACTAAATGACAGAGTTGTGTCCTTCGGTGCCCTTAAGTGTCCTCAGATGCCTGGGCTTTGACACATCTGCCAGCAGCCCCCTACAATCGGGCAGACACTTCTAAGTAAAAATGGCTTCCACAAGAAATCTCAAGAAAAATTTTAAAATATTTTAAGCTAAATGAAAATGAAAATACAACTCATCAAAATTTGGGAGCCTCCCAAGAAGTACTTAGAGGGAAATTCGTAGCATCAAAAGCATATATTTTATGTATGCATGTATTTATTTATTTAGGTACCGGAGATCAAACTCAGAACCTCACACTTGCGAGGCAGGCAGCAGGACCACTGAGTGAAATACCCGGCCCAAAAACGTTTGTTTGTTTGTTTATTTATTTTTTGAGACAGGGTCTCACTATGTAGTTGAGACTGACCTGAAACTCACTATGTAGCTCAGGCTGGTCTCGAACTCACAGCGATCCTCCTGCCTCAGCCTCCTGAGTGCTGGGATTACAGGAGTGTGCCACCAAAAAACTATATTTTAAAAGAAGAAAGATCTAAAATCAACAGTTAAGGGCCAGCAATTTTGCTCAGTGGTTCCACCTCCCGCCCTGCAAGCACAAGGACCGGAGTTCGATCCCAGCTACAAACAAAAAAAAAAAAAAAAAAAAAAAAAAAAAAAATCAATGGTTAAGCTTCTATGTCACAATATCAATTTGTACAACCTCATTCAGGAGGTAGAAACAGAGGGAATACTTCTTATTTCATTCTGTGATTGCTGCAGTATGCTAATACTAAAACGAGATAAAGACATTAGAAGATAATAAATTACACATATTTCTAATGAATACACATGCAAAAATCTTTTACAAATCAGAGGATTAAATTCAACAAGATAGAAAAGAATTATATACTACAATTAAGTGAGATATGTTTCGAGTAAATAAGGTTGGTTCAACATTTGAAAATTACAATTTATCATGTCAGTAGGACAAAAAAGGAAATCACATATTTATATCAACAGAAACAGAAAAGGCATTTAACAAAATCCAATACTGCCATGATAAAAACCCTCAGCAAACTAACAATAGAGGAGGAACTTACTAGACTTGATAAAGATTATCTACCTAAAAATACCCTACAGATAACATCATACTTGATGAGGAGCTAAAAACTTTCCTATTTAAGATCAGGAACAAAGAGAGGATATCTGGCCACTTCTTGCAAGGCAGGCAATGGAACCATTGAGCTAAATCCCCGGCCCCTCTCACCACTTGTTTTCAAAAGGGTGCTGGAAATTCTAGCTAGTATATTGAGACAAGAAAAGGAAATAAGAAATATATGATACGGAAGAAAAAAAATTATCTTTGCAGAGGAAAGGACTATGCAGAAAATTCAAAAGAATTAACAATGGAACTCGGAATTAATAAGTGACTATATCAAGATTGCAGGAAACAAAATTAACATACAATCTGGGGGCTGGGGATTTAGTGGTACCTCTGCCTGCCTTGCAAACAAGCGCTAGATCCCCAGTTTGATCCCTGGCACCAAACAAAAACAGAAACAAAGCATACAATCTGGGTGTGGTAGATACCTGTCTATAGTAACAGCTACTCAGCAAGTTGAGGCAGGAGGATTGCATGAACCCAAGAGTTCGAGGCCAGCCTAGACAACATAGAAAGATACCCATACCCATGAAAAAAATACACGTGTGTGTGTGTGTGTGTGTGTGTGTGTGTGTGTGTGTAAAATTTTCCTACATACCAGGATTGGATAAGTGGAATTTGAAATAAAAATAATACCATTTATATTAACATCACAAAAAATAAATACTTAGGCATAAAAGTAATAAAATACATACACAAATCTAATGCAATATGTGTAAGAGCTGTATTTGGAAAACTACAAACTCCAGTGAAAACAATTGTGGAAGAACCTAACAAATGGAAAGATATTCTATGTTAACAGATAGGAAAACTAAATGATCTCAAGAGGCTAATTCTTCTCAGACTGATCAGTCGAGCCAGGGTAATCAGAGTAAAAGCTTTTATAGGTTATTTGTGGATGTTAACTATTCTGAAATTTATATGAAGAGGGACTACTGCAATTTTCTAGCCGGATATGGTGGTGCATGCCTGTAATCTCAGCGCTCTGGGAACTGACATGGGAGTATCCACATTTGAGCCCACCCTGAGCAACTTAGTGATTTAGTAAGATCCTGTATCAAAACAAAAACTAACAGGGTGGGGATGTAGCTCAGTGCAAAGGCCCTTGGTTCAAGCCCCAGTACTGAAAATAATTCATTAGTTATTTTGAAATGTACAATTAATTGTTGTCATTCATGTCTACACTACTGTGCTACAGAACATGAGAAGTTATTCCTCCTATCCAGCCCACTATCTTAACTCACCACAATGTTGTTTTGGGGGCACGAGCTGGGCCTCTGCACTTGCTGTTTCCTCTGCTGTAAAGCCCCGTACTGAGCTCCCCTTACTCATTTTCTGGCTTCTGCTCAAATGCCATCTTCACAGCAAAGCCTTCTCCTTGGGTTGAATTATGTCTCTTCAAGAAAATGTTTTGAGTTTTTAAACTCTAGTACCTGTGAATGTGACCCTATTTAGAGAAAGGGTCTTTGCAGTTCACAAAGTGAAAATGGGGTCAAAAGAATAGATCCGACTCCAATATGATTGCTGTGCTTATGGCAAGGGGGAGTTTGGATGCAAACACAGCATGGAGGAAAGACAATGTGAACACATAAGGGGTCCACTTTCCATCTATAAACAAGAAAAGACTGAGGCTACCTGAAGTGGCAGAGGGAGATGGAATCAATCTCCATAAGTCTCTTTTCTCTCCCCGACCCTTCCTCCGCCCCCTTACTCCTCTTCTTTTTTCATTTATTTGAGATAGGGTCTAGCTACTGGTTCAAGGTTGGCCTTGAACTCTCTGTGTAGCCCAGGCTGGCCTCAAACTTATGATGATCCTCCTGCCTCAGCCTCCCCAGTGCTGGAGTTACAGGCATATTGCTACAATGCCTATCTTTTTTTTTTCCTTTTTCTTTATAAATAAATATAAATAATAAAGTTTTATTTTTCCAATGTACAAATGTTGAGCCTGTTCACGCTTCTTCACCAGCTGCTGCGGCATCTTCACCTTTGGTATTTCTGATATAAATAACTTGAATTCTGTGCTTTGAAATCAGTTTGACAAGTCCTTTCTTTACCAAGGAGCTCCTGAAGGCACGCCCTGGCCAGTGACCTGCAAATCTTCAGACTCTCAGAGACCACAGCTGGGGTTATAAATTTATAGTTGGAAACTTCCTTACAGAGTTTGTTGTAAGTAGCTCTATCAAACAGGACCAAGTTGTTGAGCTTGTCCTAAATTTTGGACTTCTTTCTGGCCTGACCCCAGATTTTTTCACTGGGTGTTTGTCTTTCCTGGCCAGCTTTCCGGCATCTTTCTTCTCATTGTCATCCTTGGAGAGCACCATGGAGCTCTGAGAACAGCCTCCATCAGTCTTCAGGAGGAACAAGCCCTGCCACTATCGTGCCTTTGGACTTCTGTGACACAATACACTTCTGTTATCTAAGCCGTCTAATCTGTGGTACCTTCTTACAGCAACCTAGTGATCTAATACACCTGCTTTGACCCACATTACTTAAAATTGTATACTCTATTCCCTTTCTTTTCTCTAGAATACAGCTTCCCCTCAATACTGAAAGAGCATTTCTCAGGGCCCCAGCACATACCAAACTCTGAGGAAGCCCAAGTACTTGCCATGAAATGGCACAGGTCTTTTTGTTTTTTTCCTTTTGTGGTACTGGGGCTTGAACCCAGGATATTTTCACTGAGCTGTTGTCCAGCCTTTTTTAAAAAAATTAAGAGAGCCTGGCCAGGTCACTAAATTCATGGGTTTGAACTTTTGATCCTTCTGCCTCAGCCTTCCAGAGGGCTGGGATTGCTGGTGTACACCACCATGCCCAGCTGACTGGCATGGCGTTTGTTATGCCTGGTACCTAGATGCCCCCCCAAAGCCTCAGGTACTCATACGTGGGGTTTTGGGAGTGACAGGATCATGGATCATGGGTGTGTGATACTGGGTTAGTCCACTAATTGGCTGAGCACAGTTCTGGGTGTGAGTGATGGATTTACTGAAGAGGGAAGACTTGCCTTGTGTACTGTGGCACCAACCAACAGGCTTGTTAGCCTGGATGGAATAAAAAGGGAAAGGAGGAAGTCTCACTGTTTTCTGCCTACCATGCTATGAGAGTTTCTCCTCTCTGATGCTTCTCCGTCAGGCTGCCCTGCCGTGCAGCCACCCAATTATGGACTGAAACCTCTGTAAACTGTGAGCTAAAATAAACCTCTCCTTCTTGAACTTGTGGGTGTCAGTATTTTGTCCCAGCAATGAAAAAGTAACTAAGACAGTATTTTCTTACACCCAAGAACATCCTCCATATACCTTAAATTATCTCTAGATGACTCATAATACCTAATATAATGTGCATGCTATACAAATACTTGTACTATATGAGGCATGATGACAAGAAAAAAGACTGTACTGCCCCCTGCCCAAATTTTAATATACAGTTGGTGGAGTCTGCAGGGGGAAAACTCGTAGATATGGAGGGTTGACTGTACTGTCAAACACATTATACACTGGGCCATTTCTTTTCTCACATGTTTGTTTATGGTCTGTTTCCATCCACTGGAATATAAGCACTACGAAGGTGGACTTTTCTTCATGAATCCCAGTACCTATAATCCATACTGCCTTTTATTCAGTCAAGCTTTAGGGCTCTCTCTGGCCTCACCCCATCTCACCAGAGGAAGAAGTTACGTAGTGAAGGGGATGTGTCCCACAAAGCCCACCCCTAGCTTCTGGATGATGCTGTAGGAATTTGTACCTTGCAATGACCTGCACATATGGTCCCAAGCCTACCTCTTGGTCTCGCAGGCCGCTTCCTCAGGTTCATCCTCCTGAGACTTCAGCCAAGGGGTGTGGACAGAGCTTAGGCAGCTTGGCTGCGGTCTCCTCATGGTGTGGGTGGCCCCATCTGCTGTAGAAGGAAGCAGGGAGAAAGGTTGCAGGACATGTGAAGGTGAGTGTACCACACTTGCCCATGTCCCCCAAAAGCTAAGGGACTAGAGGTTGGCCTGCCTTGAATAGTGCGTGGCATGTGGTAAGCATTCAATGGATATGAATAAATGAACTATTAAATGTGGAAATTTTATTTTTATAAGAATCCAGTAACACACCCAGGTGTGCCCACAGTTACAGGGTAAGGCAGGAGGATCAACAATTTGAGCCTAGTCTGGGCTACACAGTGAGTTCAAAACTCAGTTTGAACTATATGACAAGACTCTTTCTCAAAAAAACCAAAGAACAGCCAGGCATGGTGGTGCATGCCTGAAATCCCAGCACTCAGGAGGCTGAGGCAGGAGTATCGCCGGAAGTTGGAGGCCAACTTGGGCTACATAGTGAATTCAGGGCCAGCCTGAGCTACAAAGGGAGAACTTGCATCAATGCCCCCCCAAAAAATAACAAAAAAAAAGACAAACCTCTCCCAAAACAAAACAAACTAAAATCAAAACCAAATAAAAAATAATCAATAATTTTTTCTTTTTTTTAACAAGTTTTATTATGAACATTGCTTTTGTGTGTGTGCGTGCGTGCGTGTGTGTGTGTGTGTGTGTGTATGTGTGTGCATGCTGGGGGTTGACCTAGGGTCCTTGCACTTGCAAGGCAGGAGGCAGAACCACTATGCTGAATCCCATCACAAAATCCTAATTAATTACAGAGAACATTAAAATCTCAATGATTCAACTTGAAAGCAGATCGCGTCCTTCCATTTGAACTGGACCCAGGGTTTTACAACCGAAACAGACCGAGAAGAGGCTTCCCCTCCCCCAGTGGTCTTTATCTCTGCAAACCAGCTTCCTTCCACTCATCCTCCCGCTCCACCCTCCTTATTGTCCTATTTAGTCCTCTTCCCGAGGGAGCAAGGACAAGGGACAATCAATGTAGCTGAGAGTATCAGTAATACGATGAGAGACTTCTACAAGTGACGACTGAAACAACTATAAGGAAAAGTTCATACCTTTAATAAAATAATTCATTTGTAATGGTGAAATCTGAGAGACTTTCTGCCACCTGGGATGGGGGAGAGGAGATTAGATTTGGGGGCTTGTCAGTTACGTACTCTGCACGTAGCCAGTCTGGCTTTTGTCACATTGGACAAACCTGGATAGAAGTTATTTCCTTTGCGTGTAAACTATTGGGTAGATAATTTTATTTCTGATGTTCACCAGCCTAGTCTGCCATATCCCTGTTGTGGGGGATGTATATTTTATTACATTTGAATGTAAAGGGGATCTCATTCTATTTCATATTGGTGGAGTCTGGGTGTAGTATGAAGGTAAGGAAAAATGTTCTGCTTTCAATTTGAATTTCAAAGTTCCAATGTGGTTTCAAAGTTCTTATTAACCAAAGATTTTATGATGCTAAGAAAAATACTGGGTTCTTATAAAAGTAACACATATTTGGTTATTCATTTATTCGTTTCTATTGAATGCCTACCGAATGTCTATTGAATGTCAGGCATTATTAATAGACCTCTTATGTAAGAAACCTATTCTACAAAATGATGGCTACAGTTAATAGCAGGTAGTGTGTACTTGAATATAAAAGAATAGATTTTAAGTATTTTCATAACAACAACAAATATGAGTGTGAGGTATGCCTATGGTAATTAGCTTAGCTGTTACATATATATATATATATATATATATAAACATTTTGTTGTACACTATAAAATCAAGCAAAAGTAAAATATTTTTAAAATGAAATGAAGAGTTTATTTACAGTAAATAGTGACTTGTAGTAGTGCGATGAAAATCCCAATATTATACAAACTACAGACTGTTGCTTCCTGATAGAAGAACAGCTTGTTTGCTATCTCACAGGAAGAAGGTCTTTCAGAAGTCAGGCCCTACAGGCCCTCCGTGGGCTTCCTCAGTGCATGGAAGGTCGGTGGGTCGACAGGCACATCTGTCCCCGTGTGCTCAGTGCTATGTGCCATCCTGCAGCAAGCTTTGATGTGTCGCAGACCCTTCACCAACGCCGCCCAGACACACGGGGGCAAGAAGCACACACACCAAAATGCTGGCTTTTGACGTCATTGAAACACATTCTTCAAGAGTGTGTAAAAAATGCCTATGTACAGGATTGGCATATACTTTTAAACTTCCTTTAGAAATGAAGACCAGACATTCGAGAGATGCAGATGAAAACAACAGTGAGATTCCACCTCACCCCACAAAGAATGGCTGCTATCAAGAAATCACACAATAACAAATGTTGGTGGGGTTGTGGGGAGAATGGAACCCTTCTCCATTGTTGGTGGGAGTGCAGACTGGTGCAACCACTATGGAAATCAATATGGAGATACCTCAAAGAGCTTAGACTGGAGGTTCCATTTGACCCAGCCATCCCTCTGCTGGGTATCTTTCCAAAAGAACTAAAAGAATCAAATCACAGTGATTTATGTGCTCCTATGTTTATAGCAGCACAGTTTGTAATAGCTAAAACTTGGAAACAGCCCATCTGCCCATCAGTTGGAGACTGGATAAAGAAGATGTGGTTTTTCTATAAAATGGAATATTACTCAGCCATAAAGAATGAGAAAATAGATTCATTCATAGGAAAATGGATACATATTGAGGATCTACTCCGAAGTGAAATAAATAAGTCCCACATGTGTAAATACCGAATAGTTTTTCTGGTGTGAATAAACTGCAATAATACATAAGATCCTAATAAGATTACTGACATGGTGAAATGGGAAGAAACGGGCTAAAGGTGTAGGGAAGGTGGGATGGGTAGGGGGATGGGTAATAAGGGAAAAGAAAAAAATGTGAGAGAATGAAAAGATGGAAATAAAGTGCTTGTAGATGGGGAAGGGAGGGGGGTGAAGGGAGGGCAGGGACAAGGGGAAAAAATGAGAACCAAAACCTGTCATGTAGAGGTACAAGATCACAACAATGAATGTAACTGTACTGTATCCCTGAAACGTACCAATAAACTCAATTAAAGCTGAAAAAAAAAAAAGAAATGAAGACCAGACACTGAATTAATTTCTGATTTTTTGCAATTAAAATTGCATTGAAAAAACTTCTGCAAATTAATAATACTTTGAAAGTTAGTAATCAAGTTATGATTTATTAAACAGTTATTATGTACTAGGTACCTTACACTTCTCATTCACGCATCACCATGAAATGTTATAGTGGGAACAGTAGTTCTCCCCATTGTATAGAAGAGAATATGGAATAAACTTAGAAAGTATAAAGATTTCACTTTAATTAACTGCACATTAATCACCCAGGAAGTGGCAGATCTGCCTCACTGCACAGCCTGTGCTGTGGACCTCTAAATTCCTCTGCATTTCTCAAGTCCAGTGATTTCATTGTGCAAATGTGCATCAGCTGCCTACCTGGTCCTGGGCACTCTGCTACATTCCCACACACAAACGTGGACCCAATTCCTGACTCAGAGCTGGTGAGGAGACAAAGAATGAGAAACAAAGGGGCTGAAGGTGTAGCTTAATGGTAGAGCACATGCTTAGCATTCATAAAGCCCTGGTTCAATTCCTAGTTCACAAAAAGCAAACAAAAAATGGAGCAGGGCATGGTGGCGCATGCCTGTAACCCCAGCACTCGGGAGGCTGAGGCAGGAGGATTGCTGTGAGTTCAAGACCAGCCTGGGCTACATAGTGAGTTCCAGGTCTGTCTCAACTACATAGTGAGACCCTGTCTCAAAAAAAAAAAACTCAGAAAAAAAAATGGAAATAAAGTATTTGTAAGTAGGGAAGGGAGGAGGGGATGAAGGGAGGGCAGGGACAAGGGGAAAAAATGAGAACCAAGACCTGTCATGTAAAGGTACAAGATCCCAGTGATGAATGTAACTGTGCTGTATACCTAGAATGTACCAATAAACTCAATGAGAAAAATCAAAAACAAACAACAAAACACACATGTGAAAATAAAATTGCAGTTGTACATGTGACCAATGCTATAAAGGAGAGGCATGTGATACACTGCAAGCCCATAATGTTTGAATTTTGAAAATTTCTACATTTTATAATTGTTTTACAATGTACACATCTTGTTACCTAGAAAAATGAAATACAATAGTCCCCCCTTGAGCAAGGTTACCCTTTCTGTGGTTTTAGTTAGCTGTGGTCAACCCCAGGCCGAAAATATCAAATGGAAAATTCCAGAAATAAAATTACTAAGTTTCAAAAAGCACTTATTATAGTATATTATTACACTTTTTCTATTTTGTTGTTTTTGTTAATTTCTTATTGTGTCTAACTAGAAATTAAACTTTGTCATAAGCAATGTACAGAAAAAGCATAGAGTTTGGTATTATCCACAGTTCAGAATCTGCTGAATACCCTGGAATGTATGCTCAGTGAATAGGGGGTTACCGCACTCCTTTTAGTTAGAACTACATCTTAGAACTGAACTGAGAATTCAACTTTCAGAGTGTGAATATAACAGATTCTCCAACATAACAGATCCTCCAAAAATACCATCCGATCTTGAGGAAAACAGTCTTTTCTATTTGTACATTCCAAACATTTCTCATTTACATATACTAACTATAAGGAACAGCTCGCTAAATGCCTGCTCATGTGTTTCCAATGCTTGCTGAGTCAGTGCGAGGGATACAAATCCCATTAATATTAAGCAAGTCAGGTTTTGAAGTTAATATAAGTTCATGCATTCCTAACCCACCCTCACAGCCATTCTCCGAAGGATTGGCCTCTGGCCCCCACAGTACAGCACAGGAAGACAGGAGCTTGCCCTCAACAGGTGAGCTGAAACAGCTTTCCTAGCCATATGACTGTACTCATAGTGATATATCCAAGGGCGCCTGTTCTTTCTCCTCTTAGTGCGCATTGAATATGTTCTCTCATGACTATTGTTGTCTCCCAACATAGTCCATATTTATAGATTATATTGTCTCTCACCTTTGACTGCAATATAAACATCC